CAACATGACAATTTAATTTCTATAATAACAATGTTGTTTTTGTAAAATATTTGTTGTTGTATCCGATGCATACACCTTATTAAATACACCTTGGGTGCACTCAATAGCGCGTAAGGACTTGCGTCAAAGTTAACAACATTTAAACTTTCGGCGTCATGGCGCTCGTTTAATTTTTGACATTTGTATGTTAATATTTCTGTGACAAAAAATGGCGGCAATTGTATTCTGCAATTATTCGGGCAATATTTAAAAAAAGAAAAACTCATGGCGCCTTTAGAGTGTGCCGTTTAAATCGACTGGATTTTAAATCGAGGAACGAAATCTAGACTAGTATTAAAATGCAATGAAGTGGTTTTGTCAGCTGTTATTTGTTTACGTATAAATACACATTTCACTGCTGTCATAATCTCTGAGACAAATGGTTAATCATTATTTTCATAATTTTGTTAGGAATTGCTCTCTATTAGTTCAGAAATGCTAACAAACATTTGTTTTTTATTTATAGCAATATTTATTATAAATGCAAAAAAACAATTATTTTTTCAGCAGCTGACACATTTTTTTCGGCAGTTATTTTTATTTTGAATATTGACTAATTTTAAAGCATACTTTAGGGAGAAACCTTTATTTTTTGATGCAAAAGCAGGGTTGTATTTGAAATTATCTCGATTCAGTACAGGATTTCGGGCAAATTGAGATAATAAGTGAATTTTATTCAGCACGATTTAGCAATTAAATCGGGATAATGAATATTATCACGATTCAAGTTGTAGTCTAAACGAACCTACAGGAAAAAAACTCAAATAAGAAATTAAAAAAGAAAAATAACTCGCTATGTTCGAAGAACAATTAATAAATTGCGTGGAAAAATATCGTTGCCTTTAGAATAAAAGAATGACATCCCACCGCAATGAAATAATAAAGGAAAAAACGTGGAATGGTGTTGCGAAGGCTGTGAGTAAACCAAACTGTTTACAATCATATGTTTGGTGAATAACGCGTTTTAGGTGGGTTAACAAAATCTGACACTCGTTACATTACGACGACCATTTCGCTTAGCTCTTTAGAACCTTAGCTAAATTGTAAGTTTACATTGCACTGTATTTCGTTAAATTGTCAGCTCCATTGCACCCATGTCAAATAAATTCTCATAAAGTAGGTTAATCTGGCAAAAAGTTTTAATATGCATTTAAAATTGAGGTACAAAATCCAAGCCGTCAACACTTTAGCGCATTTCTGCAACTTATGAAACCAGGTACGTAAACAAAAACAGCTGACAACAAAATATTATATAATTTCCATGGCATAATTACAGAAGGTATTCTCATTTGAGAAATTGGTAATAGAAACCCTTTTTAATTTGGAATTCATCTATCAGTTTCAAATTGTTTCAAAAATAAATTCCATAAAATTTTATACATTGTTCTTAAGCTATATCTACAGATGTTACAACTTATTTTTGTAGATTATAGAGGCTAGGAACTTCAGGCTGGGAAATTATTGCCACTGAACACGTGTTGTGCGTACATTTCAAAGGAAGAACTTTTAATTTAAATTTTGAAAGCTGAATGTTGTCAGTAAGTCCTGATTTATATTAGGCGAGTTTACTTGCGGCAATTTTTATCGTTCTCTTTTGAACTTGCTCCATGCGTCTATACCATGGTACAATTATAAAAGGTAACAGCAAATCCCCAACGTAATACTAGTGTCAATATGAATTTGACAAATTATGTTTTTAAAAATCACCCAACAGGAAAATTGGGAACGCATACAATTTGAAATTGTTCTTTATTAAATGTGCTCCCGTATTCAATTTATTCAATCTGCCTGCTGGGAAAGTTTGAGGAAGCAAATCTTTCTTGAAGGAATTACTCGCTATTTCCAGCATTGTCATATGTGTTACACATATATATGGCAATGGCTCAATTAAAGGAAAGATGTGGAAGCGATAGAAATATAAATTTGATAGATTTTCATTCATGTTTTTCAATTTTTATTTTGAGAATTCGAAAATATTCCATTTTCAAAATAAAAATAATTTGATGATAATTTGTTTGTTTGTTTACATTTTTCTGTCAAATGAGTTGACACTAGTAGAACTTACAACAACAAATTTCCATGTGGTTGTTGTATCGTTTTTTGTACAACAACACTTGCTGTTACCTTTTATTATTATACCATGCGTCTATACAAGGCAATTCGGTTTCCAAAAAATATTTTTATTTGTTGTTTTTTCACATTTAAATATATATAAAATGTCAACAAATACGAAATACACAAAACGAATTGCCAGAAAATTGTCGGTACGAGCAATTGTTTTTCATTTCTATACCCCTTACCCCTCTCTCCTACAAACAAAGACTTGCCGCAAGTAAACTCGCCTAATCTAAATTTGGACTAACAAAGTAATTACTTCCAGACGAAAAGGTAATAACTTCTCGTTAAAGTATGCTAAGAAAAGGTTAAAATTCAAAATTGTTGCCTCAAGATCTATTATAACGCCACCCAGCTAGCTAAAGTAAACTGTTTTATCTCAAGGCTAATGTCAAAAATAAGGACTTTGTTTACGTTTTCTTAATGGAAATCAATTCACAATAATGGATGTTGACAGGAAACTTCGGGGGCAGCTGATATCCAGCTTGTCTCCCTCTATAAACTTATTTATAAACCTTACCTACCAAAAATATGAGAGCTGATGAAAAAATAAGAATTTTTGTAATTTATAATGAATCATGGCACAATGAATAGGTAGTCAATTTAGAATAGCTGATGTCTTGATTAACTGTCAAAGTGCGTAATTTCTACTTCAATTCGATGTGCAATGCTGCCAACTTTTTGAAATGTTGTAAGGAAAAATTTGACAGGTGGTTGAGACAAAAACAAATGTTTTTGTTTTGATTTGTTTATTATTGCATCATGATAATTAATATTAAGCGGCGTTTACAATAGAACATTTTCGGGGGATTTATTTGATATGTATGTAATGGAATTGACAATTTAGATATACTGTATTTAATAAATCCGGTACAATGTATACGTACGTAATTTAAAACAACAAATATTTTTATGCATTTTTGATCTAATGGGTAGCATTTCCTATCATATGAAAAATGTCCACAGAAATCACGGAAGCAGTGAAATGTGTATGTATACGTAAACAAATAACATCTGACAAATCAACTTTATATAATTTTAATTAAGGCGACCAGATTCTGAAAATTAAATTAGATGACAAAATAAATGTATATTTTTAATAAAAATGATAGTATGTGTATAAAACGTACATTTTGATGTACTTATACATGTACAAAATTAAATAAAAAGTCGTTAATTATGAACGTGCCAAATGTTTGGTCCTTAGCGAATCCTAAAAATACCGAAAATTCCTTTTCTTAATATTTCACTGATTTTTTTTAAATTCGTTAATTTGTTTTAATTTAAAAATATTTATTGCTCAAGGTTTTGCAAATATAAATGACAGATTATAAAAATAGATGACAGACAGAGGACATAAATTTCTTTTATAGATGACAGCTAGTTAAAATAGATGATTGTCCTCGAAAAAGGAGGACGAATGGTCATCTTATTTCAATACTAGTCTAAACAAGTAGTCACGTATAAACATGAAAACACCAATGGCAATGTCCAAATATTTGATCATGTGGCAACGCCAAAAACAAATGAGAACGAACGAAACGAAATGCATCCACCATTTTTGTTCTTTCTTTTTTGCCCTCGTTCTAAACATGCCGATTGACACGAATTTATGCTTCACACTCATTCGTAAACTTTCCGTTTTGGTCTTCATCGGCAATTCCCTCTGGTCTCCTCTAATTCGGAGTGTTCGAAACGTACGATTTTCAATTAGGTCGGTCATATTTATTTTGCAGCTGGCAGCTAAACTCTTCGGCGTAACTCTGTTGGTTGGTGATGGCAAAAGGAGTTTATTTTGAGCAGAGCTCCGATTTGCTCGATTTTAACGCTAAAATACTCCCGAGTGGGAAAAAAGAGTACGAGTTTTTTAGGGAGTATACTCTCCACTCTTTTATTTTGTTTGGGAGTGTTCGCGAGTACTCCTTGATGAAGAAAAAGAGTGTGAGTCAAAATGTTCGAAATAGAGTATGAGTGAAATCGAGTGGACAAATAAATTTGGTTGTTTGGTTATTTGTGTGTGTGTGTGTAGTAGCAAACATTTTTTGATGTTGATCTTTTGTGTGGAGATCGATTATTTTGTTTACTGAAAATGTGAAATACAAATAAAAATCTTATACAATATAAGATTTTTATATGTTTTTTATTTCAATTTATAAAATGAATTCAACCGTGTGATTTAATTAATTCAATATTTTTTTAAAAGCATAAACACCTCCATACAAATTTTTAAAATGGTATTCATTAAAAATATGGAAAAGTATTCTCCAAAAATATTAAAAGCGCTGGTTTGAAAGAAAACCCATGAATGCATAAGTGGTTCATTATTTAATTTTATTATCAAAATATTGTCGAGGGTTTCAATTTGGAGGCTGGTTCGTCTTGCTGTCACTATTTCAGACTTACATAAAGTGAACGCAGAGAACGAGCTTGTTGATGCATGCTTTCCCAGCAGTACAGCAAACCAAACATCACAAAACAAACAAAGAATGCACACAAACAACATCAAGTAAAACAACGGTATCACAACAAAAACATAAAGAAAAATAAAAGAGTACTCGGCAAGAGTGTAATCTGCTCGATTTCGAGCGTATTTCACTCCCACTCGAAAACGAGCGAAGCACTTGGGCTCTTATTTGAGTGGCAGAGAAAAATAGAGTATACTCTATTTACTTTTTCTACTCGCAAGAGTACTCCCGCTCGAATTCGAGCGAGTTTCACTCTTTATTCGAATTCGAGCGAGCATTTCGGAGCTCTGATTTTGAGAACACATTCTTTAGCCATTAGTAAACATACATCATTTTGCTTAAATTCCAACAAACTTTGCTTGCCTCTGCATTAAATTGCAGACGTATAACGGTGGCGACGGTCAAGTGTGGTGGACGAATGTTGGGCGATGGTGAAGAAGATACGGGCCATATTACCGATAATGGTAAGAAATGATTATTGATTTTCTCCTCTAAGCCGCTAGAATTGACAGCTGGTATAAATTTCAGGTCAAAATGAGGATACAACATGGCGTGGCTGTTGTATGGATGAAATTTATAGAAATCTAGATCCATTCGAATTGGAACATGTGGCTCCGGTTAAACCGTCTGACATACATACGGTGCTACACCACTTTCCCATACGGGACGATGACAAAACGCCACCAAGGCCTCTGAAAAGCCACCCGAAGTGGGATGCCTTCCATGTAAGACTGCCGTGTTCGAATAAATCACAATATCCAGTTGTGGCCGAAGATGGCACATCATCCATAGAGAATCGCTGGGAAATGATTGAGAAGGCATTGTTAAGACCCATTGAAAATTCGCGGGATTTGGAATCGGCCATATTGTCGTACAATACAAAATACGAAGGACATTGGACATTTCGCGCTTTACACAAACTCTTCGAAGAAGAATTGGATGAGGATGAGTCAAAGGTTTTCTTTGAGGATCTGCTGCCGCGTGTCATACGCTTGGCGCTTCGACTGCCGGAATTGGTGCAGGCACCAATACCTTTGCTTAAACAGGGGAAATGTCATGCGATAACATTGACACAGGAACAAATATCATGTCTACTGGCAAATGCATTTCTCTGCACATATCCACGTCGCAATACGCTAAAGAAGAAATCCGAATACAGTACCTTTCCAGATATTAACTTTAATCGATTGTTTCAATCGTCTGGATCTGCAGTACTGGAGAAAATCAAATGTATTTGTCATTATTTTCGTCGGGTGTGTCCCACAGAGAATGATCGCTCCAATGTGCCTACGGGATGTGTTACATTTGAACGGCGTATTATACCGCTAAGCGAACTGCCAAATTGGTCAGCCTCTGGCAAGCCATTGGGTGTGACACCCTTGCACATCAATTCGGCTGGCACGATAGAAGACCAGGGTGTTGGTTTGTTGCAAGTCGACTTTGCCAATAAATTTCTGGGTGGTGGTGTTTTGGGCGGCGGATGTGTCCAGGAGGAAATACGTTTTGTTATTTGTCCAGAGTTGATTGTATCGAAACTTTTTACTGAATGTCTGAGACCCTCTGAAGCATTGGTAATGGTGGGCTGTGAACGTTATAGCAATTACAGTGGCTATGCCAACACATTTCAATGGGATGGAAATCATGAGGACATGACACCACGTGACTCATCGAGGCGACGCATGTGTCATATTGTGGCCATTGATGCGCTACTTTTTCATCAGTCGTCGCATCAATATCGCGAGGAGTTAATGCTGCGCGAATTGAATAAAGCCTATGTGGGATTTTTCCATCCTCTAAGTACCACAGCACCGGGTGTTGCGTCTGGAAATTGGGGTTGTGGAGCATTTGGTGGTGATGCAAATCTTAAAGCCCTATTACAACTTATGGCCTGTACGGTGACTAGCCGTCCATTAGTATATTTTACCTTTGGCAATGAAGAGTTGCGTGATCAAGTTCACAAGATGCATACATATTTCATAGAAAATAATATTCTTGTCAAGGAGCTATGGGCGGTATTGAAAAAATTCTATGCCAGTAAATTATCCGGAACGGAATTGTATAAATTTATATACTGTGAATTGGATAAATTAAAGGTAAGCTAATACGATGTTATGTATGTTTGATTGTAAGTATGGAATGTTTTGTTGGTGGTAGATTGATTTCTTGACGTTTTCCTAACATTTTCACAGGTGAAGAACAGTTTGTGTTGTTTATTTCATTTCGTTGATTGAATTTGATGACAAATGATTTTGCATAATTTACTACTAGCGGGACCAACCAGCAACCAAGTTGCAGAATATTTTTTATTATATGATAATATTTATAGTAATCTAGTCCATATAAATACATATGTCTATAAGAAATATGAACTCAAAGATTTAAATATGGTATTAAAATAGATACATTTTTTTATTTATTTTTTAAAATTAATTTGAATTTTATTATAATTAGGATATGTAAAAACAAAACAAGCAAACAAACTATTATAATTTTTAAAAGGGTGGAACTGTTTTTAAATATTGGACTTTATGATCCTAAAGCGAGAACAAAGTAAAAATACACATAATTCCATTTTTTCATTAACGTAACATTAGCCATTTGATTCCTAATTTACTGCATACAAATCACTTTCATTTATTCTCTTTTTCTAAAAAAATACATTATTTTTCGTTTCCTTTTCCCCGCCTTCTTTTCTATATATCTCTCTATGGTATGTTTTCAGCGTAGTCAGCAGGAAAAACCAAACAATGCAACCGAAACCCCCCCGAATAATGTTCCAACAGCAATGTCAAAGGTTGAAACCAAGGAACCCAAAACATTATCGCCTAGTAAATCCCTTTCCCCAAAGCCAAGCACGTCCTTGAATGCAAAACGTAGCTTAGAGGAAAGTCTGGATGTATTCGCTTCGACATCCTCCGAAGCTGAGAATAACTCAAATATAACACCGCCGCCAAAGGTAACGGCTATCGATCTAAGTATATCGGATGATAGTGATACCGATCAAATGCTAGTGGCTGCCACCGATAGAGCCTGTGAAACCTTGACGCCAAGTAAAAACAAACAAGAAAAACAATCACCAGCAGCAGCAACAGCTAAACAAGGATCGCCCGGTATATCGAAGCCAAGACAACGTACACTTTTGGAAATGTTGGACCAGACATATAACCACATTACCGGGCCGGCAACAAAACGTTATTGTGTTAATAAATCACCTCAAAAGCCGTAATATAATAAAAAAACAGCAAGAAAATATACATCATGAAGACACACAACTAAATTTTAAATATATACTCAACTTTTTTTTCTTTCAATTTCAATTAAATTGTTAGTTAATCAAATGTCCCAATATAAAAAAATAAACAGATTTTATCTAAATTATGATAAAAATTATTTAAAATGGATGGAAATTGTATATAGACTTTATTCAAAAAAAAAAAAAAACTTTGATATGTAGGACGGAAGATCCTAATCATATCTAGGACTCGGAAAATATTGCAGACATCACTTTCATACTCTACATGAACTACCAAAGATCAACTCCAAGAACAGTGGCCTTAATCCTAACCGAATATACTTGTATATTTTCACATAGCGTCCATATACCTTTCTGTAATTAAAGGTAATATGCCCTTATAAAAGCTAAACTTATAGTAGAGTTCCGAGCTCTGGTTAATTTAAAATAAATGTTTGTTTTTAACCTTTAATTACTAATTTGATTCTACATTACATTGATAACGAATTCATTTTTCAAACCTGTGCTTGTTATAATAGAATTATTGCTCCATCGATATATTCCTTGGTATGGGAGGACAGAAGAGAAGCTTTACAAGGATAGATTTCTGGCAGAACAATGCATTTTGAAGGGATTTATTCCGGAAAAGGTTAGAATATCAACATCGTGTCTACCAAACAGTTGGTGTACTGTGCAACAAGTACTTGAAACCTACATAGAAATTGTTCGATCTTTTAAATTTTATTGATCCTCCCATAACCGGCTATAGACTCTGTACTCAGATTCCCATACCCATATACTGTCAGCTTTCAGGCAGATCTTTTAATTTATTTTTATTAGCAGATTGGGAGATTCAGTTTTTGCAGAGCTATGGATTTTTGAGGGATTTATTCAGAAGAAGAACAGTTGGTGTATTTAGCAATGAAGTATTGGACATCTACATAGATGTTCGACCACTTCCATTTTTTATTCTATATTTCAGCTTTCTTGCAGCAGATCTTCGGAATTTTATTTTAGTCAGATTGGGAGATTATTCTTTTATTTTATTTGGAACTTTACCAAAAGATATAGCGGATGGAGATTAAGGATCACTTTCAAACCAGCTTGACGTGTACTTCTGAGGACCCTACTAGTAGAAAGTGATGTCGATTCTTGCACTCTATCTAGGTCCCATTCGCCTGATATGGATATATAAATATTGAAATTTTTTACTCTGATTTGTCAATATTGAAAATGTTGAGCATTTGTAGGGAGTTGCCAGAAGAAGTGGACCAATAAAAGCAATATTTCCATGAGACACATGTTTGCCGTATAAAAGTGTATATACCCTCATCAATCATAAGGCTGAGGGTATAACCGATCTGATCATATAAGAAATTTACTTTATACAATAATAAAAGTAGTTTGATTATTTAATATTTCAGAAAAGGTCAAAATACTTTACAATATTCTTAATTATAAACAGTACTCTTGATTTATAATACTAATTAACCCAGTCTGCCATTCAAAACATTTCAAAATAAAAAAAAAAGAAAAAACAATTTTTTATGTCATCTTCATAAATATTTTCCAAATATTTAATAGTTTCTTATTTTTTTCTTTCTACAAACAAATTAATATTCTTTTTCTTATAACTAAATCTTAAAATTACATTTTCTTGCCAAATTTTCCACTGGCATTCCGTTTGGGCGGCACCCAACGCAAATAGGCAGGATCAACGGTAAGTTTTGGTTTCTTGAATTGTGGCAGTTGTAAATGTTCCAATATTGTCTTGGGTGTAACACAAATGACATGTTGACCCTTCCAATATTTGACCATTTTCATGGACTGTAATGTGTAGATAATGTCATCATGCGTGATGCCACTCAACTCACTCAGCTCTTTGATGCTTTGTGTTGTGGCACGGCAATCCTTCATCAACTCCAGCAATGTGTATGCCCAATAACTGCGATAACTAAGACGACCCAAATCCGATAGAGGTTTTTCGGGACTGCCAACAATACCTTCACGTCGTGACAGCTCATAACTAAATGCTATCAACAATTTACCGTAGCCTTTACGTTGATATGGTGGCAATATTAGGATGCAAGCAACATTATTGTTTTCCGGAGATTCTTTCTCTTTGGAAAAGTAGCCGACAATGTGGGCACCTTTCTTATCGATTTCACACAGGACATAGAAATAGAATGGTTCCACATCATAGTACAGGGTTTTGTGATCCAAAAACAATTTGGCCATCAGACACAGCAGTTGACAGTATAGTTTGTGATCCTTGCCATCTATTTCGAATATTGATATGGTTCCCTTGCGATAAATCTCATTACCAGGTGGTTGTCTTTGTGTACATTCTGAGGCATGATAACGATATGTTTTCTGGAAACGCATATATTTCAAACAGTATTCACACACATACAGGGTGCCCACTTTCCCATATTCATCTGGGTACGGACTAAAGTACCATGTATCGATTTCAAAGTGTCCAATACGCAATTTGTCAATATATTTCACTTTGGTTATGGCCTCGTGTTCCTTTTCCAAGGCAGCTGTTGTTGGATCCATTTCGGCGTATGTCTTTTGCACATGATTGATTTCATCGTGACGTCTCTTTTGATTTCGAGTTAATTTCCGATCACCATTCTCAGCCGCTGAAGGATTTTCCAAGGAGGCAATTTGTTGTTTGCTAACTTGTTTTATGGCCTTCGAACCACCCACAGTCTCGGAGACAACTGTGCCATTTCCCGCGCTACTGCTGTCAGTTTGTGTGGCATCTGTTATCCGATCCCGGGTAACCCATTCATCCAAACGTCTATTCAGTCCAACATAATGGACATAATATTCCGCTTTGGCACTGGAACCGGGTTCGGTTTCACGTGACTGAATTATTTGGGCGGGATGACAATTACCATCTGCCCTCTTGATCATATAAACATCTCCAGTGTTAATTTCCATTTCATCATTTGCTTCTGCAGAATCTGTATTGTTTGGAGGAGGATTTGTTGGTGTCTCGTTATTGCCGGCGGTATTGCTGCCGTTGTGGTTGTTCTTATTGCTGGCATCGCTGGCGTTGTTTCCTGCTTTCTCACTGGCCTCTGGTATTTCATCACAATTCATGTCTTCCACTTTGGTACCATCATTCGGCTGTTGATTTTCCTTTGCGGTTGTTGAATTTTTACTTTCGATAGCCATGTTTTCATCTATTTTCTTCGGAATTCTTAATTTTTTCTCACAAAAACATAAACATTTCACAACAAATTGATCAAAACAAAAAATGCTGTACAGTTTGGTGTTGTAAAGGTAGCGGTTACTTAATGCTACCAAATATCGGGTAATTATGATGGGGAAATCATGTTCGGTTGTGATTTAGTTGTTGCGATTAGTAACGAAGTATCGTAGCATGATGTTTTTGATGAGTAAAGACACAATCCCAATTTCTGCATTCTACACCATGCGATGTATAAATAAATTAATAATTTTGAATAAAAATTTATTTTAGCGTGAAGCTAAGGTAGTATAGAACAAGATACGTTAATAAAATTAAATAATATATAGAAATTCACTGATAGATGTATTGTTATTTTTAGTGTTTTTTTTCCAAAGGACGGTGGCGCCAAATGAGTTTAGATATAGAATAGGGATTCTTAGAGCGTTCCTATTCATAGAGATGCCTCTCGATTTTTCTTTTTTAAGTCGGCTATTTCAAGTTCCATAATAATTGCAAGTTTAATAAAAGGTGTTAATTTGTATTTTGAAAGAAATATAAAATTGTTTGAAATAAATATTATTTATTTAGTAATAAATGGGAATGTAAAGCCCCAAGGAGCTTGTGTCCCAAGGAGCGTAGTCCTTGGGGACGAATTCGAATAGTCGATATCAAGAATACCACCATTCTTATTGGAAACAAGTTCGGATAACCTAGCAGATCCCAGGTTGAGGCGCATAAACGGAATAAATGTAATCGGTTTGAGTAAACTGTGGACAACGATTAAGTCTCTCGGACCCTGAAAGGAAGGATGACAGGACTCCAGCCACATTTAATGACGTGAGTGTGACACATTCGAAGAAATCTACTGGCCCATTAGATCGACCTGAAAAGCATTCTCACCGTAGGAATGGTGTACTCGTAGACCATCCATCATCCGAAGTAGCAGCACAACTAAGATTAGGATAGTGCAACCGCCTTAATTCCTACTGAGGACCATACTTAACAAATGCCCAATCAACTGCCAGCTAAGCATACTGAATTCTACGAATTCTCTATGGACGCACGAGTTCCAAGCTCTTTCTTCAGTCATGTATCGTAAAAAATCGGAATATGGGGTTTGAAGTTCTTCATACACGTTACTCAAGCCAGTTAGTGTAGACTTTCTCACAGAATATAATACGGATATTGGTAATGTAATATACAATATGTTGTCAGTCGATATTTCAGACGAATCCGACAGTTCTTTGTAATCTAAAGGTAATCTAAGGTTTTCTGAGCAAGAATCAAGTAAAATTGAGAATGAGGCCTTTTTAAGATCGGCCGGGCCGAATTTTTTATACCACATGGTGTGCATTACATTTTTTTTAAACTTTCAGGGCCTTAATATGGGGCTATACCGTACATTAGGTGGTAATAGATTTTTCATGTACCGGAAAATAAACTATAGAATTGGGATTGAAAAATCTGCAAAAACCGGATAACCTAAAAAGTGGACCAATATTTATTATATTTAGTAGGAAGATTTTTTAAACAATAAGAACTCACAATACCAAATTACAGAAAATTAAATATTAGCTTGAATTTATAATAGTCAACATATTACGGGTGTATCGTAATTTGGGGACTATCTCGAAACATGGGTCCATATTGACAATTTTAGTAGGGATATTTTTCAGCAATTGAAATCTCGTGTTTTGTTGAGTTTTGGCACCATTTTATGGTACTTACCCTTAAAATAGCAATGTATGTGCAAAGTCTAAAACCGATCTCTGTCGTGGCTAAATCGATATAGAATTTTATTTTGACCAAAAATTTATGGGATCCGAGGAGAATATTTCGAGGTGTTGCATAGCCGTGCACAAAGACATACGGAGGTTTCTTTATGTACTTTAGAGTTATTAGCAAGAAATTAAAAAAAAAAAAAATAATAATAATAGGTCTATAGACTTTCTATTGATGTGTGATTAATTTTGATTCGTAAAATCCGTATGCAGATTAACTTTATAGGCATCCAAATCCGTACCAAGTTCGGCCTTTTTGTCTCTATTATTACATTTCTTTGGATTTTACGCAAATCTGTAAGGCCTTCTAGGGTAGTTGACTGGACTGTTTTACTCCTTGAAAACAGAATTATTTTTGATTCTTGTAAAAAAGAATATAGAGAATAATTTAAAATGATTATTCCGTCGATTTTGCATTTTCTTGATATTGGACTTTTATTTTTCAGAAAAAATGCACTATATCTCACGAATGCAAGGATGTAGCGATACCAAATTTTGTTCATATCCTATTTAGGATAGCTGCATTAAATCTGTAAACAGAAAATTTTTCTATGATTACCGAAAAAATCGTTCGACAAAGTGTTAATACAAAATATCCCTTGGGTCCTTGACATAGGTTATGAAACTGAATACTGTTGTAAAGTTTTCATGAAATAATTAGGTCATATCTCAGTAAGTAAGGACTTCCACAATAAAATATATCGCTGTAATCAGAAATCTAAGGGCTACTTGTGATAAAACTTTGGAAATTATTTGCGACCTATCCCAGTTTAATTTGATGGGTAGGATTATAGCGATATTGCAACTTCCTGTTGTTTTGTGCTAAAATCGCTGGTGTTTTCAAAATTTAACTACAATTATTAAGTAAAATCTAATTGGTGCTTTCCCTCTCAAACCAATATTTACTATTTTACACCGACAAATCGTCAACGTTTCCAGATAAAAGAAGATTGTTATAATCTTTGTGGTCGGTATAAACCATTTTTTGATATGTCTAGAAAAGTCAGGATGTCGTAGAACGTGAGCGGATGTTTGAACCTTTTTCAGACCTTCGAACGTTTTTATTGCTGCACCGGACATTTCGAATTTCTTGCATACTTTTCAAGGTAGAAGAAATTGTGCATACGGACTTCACGGGAGCTTTGAGGCAATTGAGTATTTCTGATCGCTGTAACTTTGCCGGGGTCGGTTTTTTGCTTCCCATCGCCAATGTTAAATCCCAAATAAAGGCCGACCGGTAACCATAAACGCTAATTCAATCTGTCAAAATGTAACTTTTAAATCGACTCTGCTAATATTATAGGTTTCGTCGATTCTGCTTACGATGCCATCTATATTTTGGTGCGACCTAGCAATAGAATTTAATTCTTAGATACAATTTATTGAGTGCATTCCTGCTCGTCCCAGCATTCACTTTTTTAGACCGGCGCCACCGTCATAATTTCCAGATAAAATTAGATCGTTATAATTTTTGCGGTCACTACAGATTTTTTTGAATAGAGTTAAGTAAACAAATTTGGAACAACACGCATAGAAGGCATCTATGTGTGTATACAGTTTTGTTAGTGACATTTCTATGATTGTATCCACATGACAAGTCTAATGAAATCAAAATAAAAATAGATTATTCATCTTCTTCTTCATCTGCAACGTTTCCATGATATAAAAAAAATGTTTTTTAATTGATACTTAAGTAAAATATTGATGCTGTTGCCAAAACAAACAAATTTCCATCATTCCGAAATTATATCAGATTGATATAGACACATACATATATTAATATAGATACATATTCATATATCGTCAACTGAAAGATCATGCGACAATATTTAGAATACGCTCGATTTGCGTGCCCATGTGTGTATGTGGGTATTTTTTGTTTGTTATTTTGAATTAGCGAAAAAGGGGCACGTTTGCCTCAGCACGTAAGAACATAACAATATTTTGTTAGTTTTTCGGCATTCACCAAGTGCCAATTTTTTAATAAAAACATGTATTGATAAGATTAAATACGTCACAGTGGGTGGAACTTTTAATGACTTTCGAACAAACAAAAACATATTTTTTTTCAGGGGGGAATTCACTATTTTTAAATACACACACACATACACACATCAAGAGTTCTATATATATATACATATATATTCATAATTGTATGTAATACCCTCATAGAAATTTGGAAACTGTGGCGACCTCAACCTAATGAATTTTCAATAAATTATTTATGTTTACATTTCAAATATAGGTTGAATGAAATTAAGAATAAGATTTTTTAAGATAATATTATGCTATTTAAAAGAAATCTAAACATAAAGGGGGAAACACGAGAATTCGGGCCTGGCATTTTAAGTTGGCTTTGTATGAAATGTAAATTTATAAAGGAATATCGAAGTCAATTTTGATTTTGGACGCCGTTCTCTTTTATTCTTGCACAATAAAATAAGCCAACTTAACATGCCAGTCCTGTAGGCCTATTCTGTAAAATTTTTAACAACATTCGACTGGAGTCTTCTTATGTGTTTTCCCCCCTTAACTCCGCACAACAATTTACCGGCTTGGAAGCATATCCTTATACTAATCTCTACGCCTTTTTCCGTTTTATATTTACAATTAAAAACGTCGTTTACTTAGCTTAACCCTTCACCCCGATTTTTTCCGTAATCATAAACAATTAACTGTTCACATGTTTAATGCACCTATCCTAAATAGGATATTAACAAAATTTGGCATGACTACATCCTTGCATTCCGGAGATACAGTACATTTGGTCTGTTCCCGTTCTGCAAGAATCTACTCGATTTTACTATTTTCTTCGATATCATAAAGGAAAATTCATTATCGTAGTAAAAAGTAGTATATTCTTGCAGTACGGGAACAGACCAATTATTTCTGAAAAATAACTCTGTGTGACACGAAAATTATTCAGGGTTTCTAATGTACCAATTCTGCTTAGTTGGAGTTTCTGGACAACGAAAATACCTTTGGGTTTTCTGAGTCACTTCCAAAATTTTAGTTTTATAACTGTAAATGTAGAGAAAAACATGTTTCATAGATTTTCAATTTAAAACTCGAATAACTTCTTTTATTTTTAAGGAATTTAGAGTAGAATCCCTGAATAATATTTTTTGTTTGTTTTTTTTTTCATAGCACAGTTTAATACCAAATGCAAAAATCGACGGAAAAATCATTTTAAATTATTCTCT